AAACAGTACATTATAGAGCACTAAACCAATAAGAAACATCTTCAAACTTAGTAGATGTTTTATTCTAATTTATTTAAACTAATTTATAGGATGTTGCTAAGTTATTATCTAGCCTATGCTTTAAGATGTATTTCATAGAAATTTAAAAATATGTATATTTTCACATAATATCTCATATATAGTAATGAATTTCATGTTGCAATTCATCATGAAGTTTTGTTAAAAAAAATTTAAATCCAAATGAGGTTTGCCAAATCGTCATACCCTTTTTTTCTGTCAGGTTCGGAAAACAATGAAGACATATTTGATCATTATATCTTTAGCAAAAGTTAGCGGAGAAATAATCAAATCTCAATATACATACTCCAACTCTAATAAGTAAGAAAAAATAAACATTTATTTCTTTCTGCAACACAAAACAAAAAATTATAAATTGTATTAATTATTATATATATATATATTATATGTAAAATAAATTATATTATTAAATTATTATATGTATAAGAAAAGTGAAGAAATGAAAGAATATAAATATCATCAGATTATTATAGTATAAAATCATTTTTATATATGTATTGATGATTTTGTTTTGGATGTATTTATTTACAATATTTGTTATTTTTTATGTGTAAAAAAAATAAGTTTTTAATGATGTTGAGTTATGTATTCAATTCATATAAATATTTATAGATGATGATGTGTAGAGTGATAAAATATTTGAATTATAAAAAAATATTAATTAATTTATATAATATTGATATTGTTCTATATATGAATATATTAAAAATCTATGATTTTATATAATTTTTATGATTATAATATTTAGTTTTACACCAATAACGATTATAATATTTGTATATATATTTATACGAATACAAATACATTCATATATATATATATATACATATAAAATATAAAATAAATATAGATATATATACGTATATGCTTACATATATTGATCATCTAGAATTGATAAACTTGAATTTATTTTCTTTTATTTTTTCTCATTTTTAATATATTTCATATAAAAGGAGTTGAATATGATCTTATGATGTTGGTTTTGATATCCATTAAATTTTTTTTATCTTTCTAATATATGTTTTACGTTTTTAATATATTTTTTTAAAATTTTCATCTCCTTTATTATACATCTACAATTATAAATCGTCTATAAAAAATTATTAATATAATATTATATACTTTGAATGTTAACTACAACTATTTATCATTTGTTCAGTTCGACCAACTTATTTGTTGTATAATATGATGGTTGTAAACTTGTATTCATCTATAGAAAAGAACGATACATAATCAATAATTACAAAATAAGCTTGGGATCCTATATACAAGTGGTTCCAAAATAACTGTGTCTACGCTTACAATCAGGAGCGGATCCATTTACATTTGAATGGGGTCCTATACCTCCATACAAAATTTTATTTTAGTTATATTTTTTATAAAATTTTAATGAAAAATGTGATATGCCCCCGTCAAAAATTGTTGTGTGCCCCCTCATTCTTCTTTCATTCTTTTTTTTATATAATTTTTTTCATTATTTGTCCCCACTAATTATTTCCTCTGGATCTGCCACTCTGCCACTGCTTACAATGTAATTCAACGAATTAAAGTTTTGCGATACCATAGCTGAAGTCTCATTCTCAATTTGAAGGGTTGTCTTCTGCAAAGATATAAGAATGTCTCACATATTCTGGCTTTTACTTGGTGTATAGGATTGAAAATCTCCCTATAGATTCTACAATTCATTTTCTACCATAGAGTATAGACTGTGTGTTGGATGAGAAGTTTCGCAATTAACCTACTTCCCTCATTTTGCAATGATATCCCCAGTTCGATCTAGTTATAACATTTGTTATTAAATTTATATCTATATAAACATATATATTATACGTCCACCATTACAAATAATTTTATAACTCTTTTCGATTTATATAAGATTTTATTTTTACAAAATGTAAAGTTATATAAAAAAAGTTGTTGAAATTAAATTTTAAATCTTATAGATATCTAAATTTAATTTTACAACAACCGGATGAACCAAGTGATTCCAAGTTGTCACGGATTATATTCATCTATTTTCCCTTATATAATGTAGGAAAATAATAACCAGCATAAAAGCCGACCATAAATAATGTAAGCGTACATATATTTTGAGGATGCATTAAATGTTTATACAATAGAAATACCTTTATTTGTATTGCAGTTTTCGTATACGTGTATGGAGAGCATCTTTTTTTATTAGCAGACACGTTCACGAACACGATTACTCAAAAGGTTTGTCTTGTTTATTTATTTCCATTGGATAATTTTAATGAACGAGCCTTCGTTATTTTAAAATCCTATAAAAATGAATATTGGGGATGTAATTGATGACAACATTTTTTTTATTTCCTTTTGTTACGAATAAGAGACCCAAAAAAAAAAAGAATTATTGACATCGTAGACCACGTGCAGTATTTTGAACTTGGTAGGTTGGTAGGTACACACGAAATTATTCACTATATTATTTTATTATCAACACTTCATATCCATCCATATATTCCATCACATATCCTCCGGACACATGTTTGTGTGTTTCTTATAAGCGCAAATTAATTAATTACGGTATTCTAAATGGACCAACGTTCGCTACTTAAAAAAAAAACAAGTATTCGAGGTTTAAATATGGATTCATTAATATTTAATGGACGATATATATATGTGTGTGTATATATATATATATGTTTTTATAAAGCTGCGAACTGAATAATTCTTTTACTGATTATATATGTTTACCAATATTTGTGATTTCAAAGAAAAACATTGGAATGTCGTTGTTGCTGATTAGTCTTATAATTCTTGGCTCTGAACCCACGTACTTTAAAGTTCTATTTTTCTATGCATGCCATCATGCATAATGTCATGCAGACACTCGCGTAGTTGCATGTGTATTCGCATAGATACCGAGACATGAAACCATATATTCCAATCTATTTCTAACTATACGTAGTTTTTATAAAATATTTTGTGTTATCAAATAAAATAAATATCGCTTTAGATTTTGAAGGTGATTTTTTAAAAATAATTTCCAATTTTATTTTAATTAAACTTACTTGTAAGGGTGAATGTAGTGATTAATTAAACTAATGATCATGAATTTTAATAGATATGATAATAAATGCTCCTATAATATCCGAACGAATCGAATGTTTTATGTTGCAATTCAATAGTCTTTGACGTCGTCATATCATAAACGATGATACATATATATATATATATATGCGTGTATGTATGTATGTACGTATATGGATGCTCATTTCTTCCATACAAGACAAGCTCTTGGCTCATTTAAATAGAAAAATAACAGCTGATTAGTTTGAAGTTTGAACGAGTTCATGATCGAAGGACCGTTTAACTTGAACCTCAGCGTTACTTGTTGACAATCAAATTATTATAACAATATCTTTGCCACACAAAAAAAAAAAAAAAAGAACGACCAGCCGCATATAGCAAGATTTCGCAATTAGAATAAGATTTATGGTGTAACGATTTGAATCTTTTTTTTTTCTTTCAAATATCGCATGTTCAAATTATTGGTTTGAACATGTGTATATAAGTGTAAACACCTTAACCCCATAAAGAATAGGTTAGATTAATACATGAAATTCATATTTTAGTATTGGTGTCTTAAACATAAAAAGAAATTTGATCTTTAGAAATACTACGTACAAGATACCCGAGAATTAATTAATAACACTTATCCTATATATATAAATATAAAATATTCGAGGAGAATATTATAAGGAAACAGATTTTTACGTGATATGACCAAAACATTATAGGTTATAAGCTCGGAAATTGAATACAATTACACTACGTATCCGCAAAAATTCCACGAGCAAGCAAAAAAAAACGCGAAACGTGCACCTTTAAAAAAAATACTATCAGAAATCATATGGATCTTGAAACGACGTCGTCCTTTGGGACCCACCAGTGTTTGTTGTGGCTCCTCTCTCTCTCTCTCCTCCCGCATCAGTTCCACGAGCCATTTTGGCAGGGAAAACTGTACCAAATACCGTCATGGTCGTAGATGCATTCCATCACATACCAAATCATCCCACGTTCTTAATTTGCTCCATTGCATTTAATCACTCTTAACATTCGAATGTCGTTACTGTAATTAGTTTGACAGATTGTTCTTATACTTGCCAGCTACAATCTGATAGGCACCTCATATCAGTGGCGGATCTACTTGATTAGGAGTGGGGCACAGGCCCCCATTCAAATTAAAAAAATAATAAAATTTGTGTATAAATTTTGTAAAAATACTAAGAAAACTGTCCAATGCCCCCATTAAAATGACATTTGGTTTTATAAAATTATATGTATAAAATCCATGCCCCCACTTATATTTTTTTCTAAATCTGCCAGTGATCGTAACTACAATTTTTATTTCAAACTTATTTAATATCTAAATACACTAAGATTAACAAATATTAGCTTTTAAACTCGGGTATGAAAAAATTTCCATGAGTCGGTCAATGTCGACTGATGCGTAAGATCGGAGGTTAACTGTCCATAATACCAATTATCCGGTCCGAGGGCTGTGAGGTGATGCGGATCCGGGCTTTGTGTCGAGTTTTCACCATTATAAAAAAGTATATATTATATACGAATTTTAAATATTGTAATTAGTAGTATGCATGTATATTATTCACAGTCTTTTTTTTTATTTTTATTTTTATGGGAAGCGCTACTGCAGTGTTGATGGTTTACATATATTATGCATTTATAACACGAGGGATTTGGCAGGTCACCAACAAAAATATTTAAAAATTTAAGAATTTTCTCCGTCCCTCTGTTATTAAATAAAATATCCCTTTTTAAGATAGTTTTGGATGGTAGACTATCCTTTCCTCTCTCCTTCCTCGAAACAATAAAGGGGCATTATAGTCATTTCTCGCAAAGAATCCAGACGTTATAAATAGGAAGGTGAGTATGAGACCCATGCAAGGAACAAAAAAAAAAACTTTTGTTTCTTCTCCCTTCTTTCTCTTCTCTTATTTCATCGAACAATATGAATAGCTTAGCCTTAAACTCTTCGAACTCCGATATGTCTTGGACAGAAACGACGACGTTTAGCAACAAATATGTTCTCACGA